TATAAAGTACAAAAAACAGTACACGGTACAATCATGTTGAATAAATATTGCTATTGTTGCTGCCTAACCATTCTATCTAAAATAGTTGCCACACACACACACACACACACACACCCGACTTTATATCTTATCCTAGTTTATTTTTTCTGTATATTAATAGATTTGTTTATGTCTATCCCCTCCCCCACCCACAAGTCTTTTTTTAACCACTGTAACCACAGTGCTGTAACATCCCCTGGCCCTTAGCAGCTGGTCAAAAAAATTATCTTTGTATCAAAGATTTTTATACTCTCTGGATTTGGAGAAAGACTCTAGTCAAATAATCATAGCAAGAAATATAAAATTACAATTGATATATATTCTATGAAGAAGAGTTACATAATAGAGAGAGTGTGACCTGGGTTTGTTTTTTTTTTTTTTTTTTTTTTTTTTGAGGGGTAGGCAGGCCAGATAGTTTCCCTGAACAACTTGATTTGAGAATTCCAAGACATGTCAGTTACACAGTCTAGAAAAAATACTACCACAGGTCATCTGCACATGTTCTTCTTTCTTATCTGAACTACTCTTTCCATAACACAACTTTTATAATTTAATATCTCAGTTCTCTACTTTAAAGATTGAGCCTACCTGGGGGCTGGGGTTATGGCTCAGCAGTAGAGCGCTCCCCTAGCACGTGCGAGGCCCTGGGTTCGATCCTCAGCACCACATAAAAAATAAAATAAAATAAATTTATTGTGTCCATCTACAACTAAAAATAAATATTAAAAAAAAAAAGATTGAGCCTGCCTGAAGCTACCCTTGACTATCCTATTCCATGATGTCAAAATTTCTTTCTTATCATTTTAAAAAAGTACTCTTCACATTTAAAAATTAATCTACTAAGACTACAGTTCAGTGGGACAGTGCTTATCTAGCATATACAAGGCCCTGAGATCAATCCCCAATATGGCAAAAATAAAAATAAAATTTCAAAAATAATAAAAATGGATATTCTTAGCAAGAGCTAGTATCCTAAACCAGTGGTTCTTAAAAACATGGTTCAAAGACCATACTTTACACTGATTCTTGTCAGAAATTCAAACTCTCAGGTTCTACTCCAACCAAACCCAGTGAATCAAATTCTGGAGGTAGGCGGGAGGAAGCAAGCCTTGCTGGGGCTTTACCTTCTGATTTAAGGTAGTTTAAGAACCCCAGTCTTAGACATTTCTCACTGAGTTGCTTGCCTCTCATGTGTGAGGCAGCACCACATAAAAATAAACAAATAAAATAGAGGCATGCTGTCCGTCTACAATTACAAAATTAAAAATATATATATTTTAATAGTTGAATATTTCAACTATTCAAAACACAATGTAATAAACATTTGAAAAATATAAAATGCAAAGCTTTTTTTTTTTTTTTTCCCGATACTGGGGATTGAACTCATGGGCACTCAACCACTGAGCCACATCCCCAGCTCCATTCTGTATATTATTTAGAGACAGGGTCTCACTGAGTTGCTTAGTGCCTTGCTAAATTGCTGAGGCTGACTTTGAACTTGATCCTCCTGTCTCAGCCTCTCCAGCTGCTGGGATTACAGGAGTCCGACACTGTGCCCGGCCAAAATGCAAAGCCTGTAATAATCATTTACTCAACTCTTATTAAGAGTGCCTAATAAATATATTGTACAAGAAAAACAAAAAAGTAGCCTCCACAAATAATTCTGAAATCACAATAAACTAATATTTTGCCTTCCCTTAACCGCTCCAGTACACTCTTACTGTGTGAACATTTTTAATAAGGAAGGAAAAATCGAATTAGTTGGATGAAAAATCTGAAACACAATAATGCCTAATATACCTGCTATGGTCTGAATATCTGCCTTCCCTAAATTCATATATTGAAATCCTAACCCCCCAAAGTGATAGCTTTGGAAGTAGGGCCTTTGGGAGATGATTAATCATCAAGGCAGAACCCTCACAAATGTGACTGGTACCCTTATAAAAGAAGCCCTAAAGAGGCTGTTTATAAAGCTCAGTTGGTAGAGTACTTACCTCAAATGCTCAAGGCCCTGGGTTCAATCACCAGCACCACAAAAAAAAAAAAAAGAAGAAGAAGAAGAAGAAGAAAAAGCCCTAGAACTGTCCTGCTCCTTTTACCACGCAAGGACACTGGTAGAAGATGCCATCTATTAAACAAGGAAGACAGGAGCTGGGGCTGTAGCTCAATGGCAGAGCGCTTGCCTCTCATGTGTGAGGCATTGGGTTCAATCCACAGCACCACATAAAAATAAACAAATAAAATAAAGGCATGCTGTCCGTCTACAATTATAAAATTAAAAAAATATATATTTTAATAATTTTTTTAGTTGCAGTTGGACACAATACCTTTATTTCACTTATTTATTTTTATGTGGTGCTGAGGATTGAACCTAAGGTCCCGCACATGCGAGATGAGTATTCTACCACTGAGCCACAATGCCAGCTCATAATTTTTTTTTTTTTTTAGGTGTAGATGGACACAACACAATGCCTTTATTTTTATATGGTGCTGAGAATCGAACCCAGGTCCCACTCGTGATAGACGAGCACTCTACCGATGAGCCACAATCCCAGCCCCTAAAAATTTTTTAAATAAATAAACAGGAAGACAGCCCTCACCAGAAACCAAATGTGCCAGAGCCTTGAACTTGGACTTCCTAGCCCCCAGAACACTGAGAAATAAATTTCTGTTGTTTACAAGCTACCCATTTTATGGTATTTTGTTAAAGCAACATGAAAAGACTAAGACAATATCTTTCTAGCCTCATTTCCTAATACATATCTTCACTCTTACATCCTTTCATTCTATATAAGGTAATTCTGCTTCCTGAAATACATTCTATAGCTTTTCTACTTCATATTCACAGTGAAGCTTTCTTTCCCCTCCCAAATGATCTACAAATAAATAAATCCTATTCATCTTTCAGGCCCAGCTCAAATGACACTCTGGGGTCCTAAATAGCCAAAGAAGAGTTCATAATTCCTCCCTCTGTACTTATACATTCATTCTCAGTGGGAAGGCCCACACTTTCAAAAATCTAGCAATCTGTCTTGGGTAGGATGGCTCAAAATTAAAATTTAAAAAAAAAAATTCTCGAAACTCACTTTTTTTTTTTTTTTTAGAGAGAGAGAGAGAGAGAGAGAATTTTAATATTTATTTTTTAGTTTTCAGCGGACACAACATCTTTGTTTATATGTGGTGCTGAGGATCGAACCCGGGGCCGCATGCATGCCAGGCAAGCGTGCTACCGCTTGAGCCACATCCCCAACCCTCTCAAAACTCACTCTTGCTGTGGAGTCCACTAGTTGCCTCAATTTTCAGTTTAAGATATCCATGTCAAGTTGAAAAATGAGACCACAAAGTGAATCAATCAAGCATCTACTTGACCTGGCACAGGGAATAACAGGAAGGCACAGTTGCTGCTAGAATTCACATTCCACAAGGACAAACAAGCTAGCACACAATGACAGTGTGATGGAGACAGACACAGGAGAATGAAAACCTATAAATGCAGTCAATGAGTTTGGAAATGTTTATAGGTTAAATGACTTGATAGTAAACCATTTCCTAAAATTCAGATAAAGAGAAAATAGAAACTGACTAACCAAGGAGAACATGATTACCAGGACTGAGTTTTGACTAGAATGTCTTATTCTTCACAGAGATCAAAATTTAGCTTGAAAGTGATGTAGTAATGTTTTCAATAAATGTACAGAAAACCACAGGTAATCAATTCAATGAAAAGCCAACTGAAGTCTCAACCTGTTTTGAAACATAAAGAAAATTTGTAAATAAAAGGCTCTCCCAAGAAAGGGCAAAACAAATGAACCCTTTAGAAGGAATCAGGCTGCCACAAGCTGATTGCCACACTTATTTTCAGTCTTCAAATGCCTTTGGTAGCTGCTTCCAAACAAGAACAATTTTTTTTTCTTTTTTTAATTCTAAATGGACACAATATCTCTATTTTTGTATGGTGCTGAGGATCAAACCAGTACCTTATGCTTAGGCACTGAGCTACAACCCCAGCCCAAAATTCATTTACTCTAAGTAATAACAGTAAAGTCTGTAAACAAATATTTTTAAATTTCACAAACTGTACCTCCACTTAAGACACTGAAAAGCAAATTTCAAAACATTTTTAGCTATTTCTGTCAAAAGGCCATATCTCTCATAAGATCACAATATGCATGCTGACCCTCACTCCACCACTCCATAGCACACCATCACTCAGGTTTTCCAACGACACAAAATAAAAAAGCTCCCAAGCTCTCTTTCATACCTCTAATCTCCTCTTTCTGCCCTCCAGAGAGGGAGGGAGGAGATGAAGAGATGAAGCCAGAGAGAGAGAGAGAGAGAGAGAGAGAGAGAGAGAGAGAAAGCAAGCCAGCCAACGAATCCCTATCTGCCCGCCCGACAGTTCCTGGGAAGCAATCGCCTTCAATTTGTTCCTGCTTAGACCCCTGAAGCCTGTAGAAGGAAATGGGGACAACTGTGCGAGCCGGCGAGGATATGTGAAAGAAATGTGGATGATAGAGGACGAAGGGGAGGAGGGGGTAGTGGAGATAAAATGGTGAAGGGGGTGAGAAGGGAGAGCAAAGTGCAGGAGAGAAAAATGGGGAGGAAGAAGGGGGAAGGGGTAAAGACCACAGTAGAGACAAAAAGGCAAAATGGTAGAGGAGAAAGAAAGGAAGGTTAAAGGAGAGGAGAGAGACGCAAAGAGAACGCGAGAGAGGCTGTCACTGGGGGGGTGACAAAGGGTATCAGCGGGAATAAGAGAGATTAAGGGGGTGTCACCCGAAGGGGCTCGCCCCAGCAGGTGGACTGGGAGCACCAGGAAGGAGGAGCTGGACGCCGAGGGTGAGGCCACAAAGGGTTAGGTGAGGGAAGGGCGTCCGAGGGACACCAAGGCTAGGGAGGGGCAGGCCCGCGGGGGCTAGGCTGGCGGGCGGCTCCGGCTAGGGCAGGCCTAGCTTTCTCACCATGGCTGTGCGGGCCTGGTCCTCGGGCATGCAGCTTCGGTCCTGGGTGCGGCGGCGGACCGGGCCCTAGCCGGCCCCCAGGCTGAGCCGGCGCGGAGGCTCCAGGAGGCTCCAGCGAGCTGCAGCTCCGGGCTCGGCCCAGGCCTCGGCCTCCTTCCCTCAGAAGATAGGAGTGCACCAAGCCGCAGCCGCAGCCGCAGCCCGAAGCCGAGCGCAGACTCCACCCCCGCGAGGCCCCGCCCCCGCCGGCCCGACTGGCCGGAGCCGGCCCCGCCTCCGTCGTCCCGGCGCAGACTCGGCTGCGGGGACCCGCCCCAAACTGAACCTCAGGGCTCTGGGCGTGCAGGCCCTTAAAGGGGCAACGCCCCCTCAAATCTACCTAGTCCCTTCGAAAACAGTAAGAGATTTGAGCCATACGTCTTGGCAGGAGACTGGAGCGTTTGTTTCAGTCACCTATGTGCCCCTGTGTCATTCACCATCGTTTTTGTTTTTGTTTTGGTACCGGGAAATTGAACTCAGGAGCACTTGACCACTGAGGCACCATTTTATATTTTATTTAGAGACAGGGTCTCACTCAAGATCTTAATCTTTGATTCACTGTCATTGAATTACCGTTGTCATCATTCTTGGTGATTTCAACATTCTCTTAGAGGATTCTTCCCTCTGGTTTCCTCTCCTCTAGAGATCACCCTTCTTTATCTTCTCATTCTTATGCTCATACCTTCTATTATCAATAATTACATAATTGCAACCTCTCTAATCATAATACTTTTTTTTTTTCGGTCGGTGCTCAGAATCGAGCCCACAGCCTCGCATATGCTAGGTGAACTCTCAACCACTGATCTATATCTCCAGCCCGTGTAATCTCTAACTTTCCCATCACAATTTGCTTCCTTCCTCACTCCATCCAGCATTTCAACTGTTCAACTCTACCAAGACCCCAAATCCATTGATCCTACTACCCCTTCACTATTCTTCTCACTGCCCTCATATCCTCACTTCCTTAGTAGCTTAGGCTCTATTGCCTGTGGTGAAAATCATTCCCAAGTATTTACCTTCATTTCTCCAATCCATCTATCTCTCCTTCCTTTATACTATCAAAACTTCAATCCTGAACCTGAAGCAAAACCAAAAGGGTGAGGAAAACCCAAAGCCATACTGACTGGTTGATTGACACCCCTAACTTTGATTTCAATATTCTCAAATGGGCCCTTAGTGTTTGGCTACACTACTACATCTATGTATGTTACCACCTTCCTAGGTAACTATTTCATATCCCTCTCTCTTCAAATCTCCAACAATTCCTCCCTCATCCTCATTTAACTTATGATTTTGCCTCCAACTCACTGAGAAAAGTGAAAGGAGCAAAAGAGAAAATATACAAGTTTCCACCATCCAACGGTGACTTCCAACCAATTTGTAACTCTGCCTTCCCTTCCTTATATGAAATATTGAGTCTTTATTGAGTCTTTTTTGTTTGTTTTCAGTGCTTGTGGATCAAACTTCATACATGCTAGGCAAGTGTTTTCCCGCTGAACTACATTCCCAGGTTGTATTTGTCTTTTAGCTAAGGTCAAATCCTTCTCAGTTCTGAAACTATCTGGGGCTGAAAACCCAGGTGTTTCTCCCTGAGTGTTAGACCTATATTTTTGTAAAATACAATAAAAATTAATTACTATAAAAAGTGAGGTTTTTTTGATTTTTGGAGTTTTGTTTGTTTGTTTGTTTGTTTGTTTTGTGGTTCTGGGGATCAAACCCAGGGCATTGCGATTGCACATGTTAAGTAATTGCACATGTTAAGCATGGGCTCTTCCACTGAGCTACATCCTTAACCTCCAGCTTTTTTTTTTCCCTTTCCCATCATAACCATTTTGTTTTTGTTGTTTTGGAACTGGGAATTGAACCCAGGGGTCCTTTACCACAAAGCTATATCCCTGGTCCTTTTATTTTTTTTTTAATTTTGAGATAGGGCCTCAGTAAGTTGCTGAGGCTGGACTTGAACTTGCAATCCTCCTACCACAGCCTCCCCAGCTGGAGGATTACAAGCCTGGCTCCATCCTAACCATTTTTTTTTTAATTTTTTATTGTTGGCTGTTCAAAACATTACATAGTTCTTGATATATCATATTTCACAATCATTTTTTTTAATACTTATTTTTTTTTAGTTGTAGTTGGACACAATACCTTTATTTGATTTACTTATTTTTATGTAGTGCTGAGGATCGAACCCAGGGCTAGGCAAGTGCTCTGCCGCTGAGCCACAGCTCCAGCCTCCTAACCATTTTTAAATGTACCGTGAAGTGTACATTCACATTGTTGTGCCACCATCACCACTTTGCAGCCCTAGAACCCTTCATCTTGCAAAACTGAAATTCTGTACCCGACAATAACTCCCCATTCTCTCCTCTCCCAACCCCTGTTCATTTATGTGTGTGTGTGTGTGTGTGTGTGTGTTTTGTGCTGGGGATCCAACCCAAGGTCTCAAGCATGCTGGGCAAGTGCTGTACCACTGAGCTTCCAATCCAATACCGTTCTATTTTTACCTCTATGACTTTGACTACTCTAGGTCAAGTTTTGTTTTTGTTTTCTGTTATATCCCATAGATAAAAAAGTTTTCTGTCTAATGGCACCCATTTGTATTCCCAGCTACTATTGAGGCGGGAGGATTGCTTAAGTATAGGAGCTTGTGACCAGCTTGGGTAACTTAGCAAAGACCAGTCTCAAAAAAAGTTTTTTGTCAAACTAACATAAAGTTCTATATTATGTACAAACTATACTGTGCTGATATTTTTTAAGTTTCTAAATATTTACACTGAATTTTTATCACAAACTGGTGGGCAAACCATTCTTAGACAATCACTAGTCTTTCTTAGAGAAGCACAAGTTCTAGGTTTCATTCCATTTCATTGTTTCAAAAATATCTTTCCAGCAATTCCTTTCTCATACATCAACATTTTTCCGCTTTTCTTTCCCATTGTTACATCAACATGAATATGTCTTCCATTTTAAAAACAAACAAATGAAAACTACTTCCTAGACTTAGATGTCCCTCCAGCTACAGCTCAGTGTCTCTACCTCCTTTACAGCAAAATGTCCCACAAAGGTAGCCTGTTCTAAACTCAGTGTCTTGGCTGTGTTTCCCCCATTTTCTCTGGGACTCTCTCCACTACATTTTTCACCTCCAGTACTCCATCAAAATGCTCCCATCAAGGTCATCAGTGATGCCCACTTGCTAACAACAGTCCAGCCTCAGTGCCCTTATTCTTGACCACTGAAACAAAACACTCATCATCATCATCCTTTCCTTGAATACACCATGCTGTTCCACTCTTCTGGTTAGTCTAACTCACTAACTGACTTGAGTATCTTATTTCTCCGACCTTGAAATACTTCAGTGCCTCAAGGCTTAATACTTAGACTTAACTTTTTCCACCTAAACTCCCTGCTTGATGATCTTATTCCAAACGATTATGAATTTCAAATTACTATATCTACTGAGATAGGAATTTGGGATACAGCAAAAGAAAGATAATACTGACTGTCAAAGACAAGTGTCCAGTGAACCCTTGGAAAGCAAGAAACACTCAAGAACTATTAGAATGCAAAACTAGAAACTCAGGAGCAACCTGTCAGCATCCTTAGCCCAATTCCTTGCCTGAAGAAAGTAGCATAATGCTACTGGGCATGGTGACATGCACCTGTAATCCCAGCAACTCAGGAAGCTGAGGAAGGAGGATTGCAAATTCAAGCCCAGCCTGGGCAATTTAGCAAGACCCTGTCTCAAAATACAAACTAAACAAAACTCCCCAAAAAGATAGGGGGCTGGAGTTGTATTTCAATGTCATAGCTCTTGTCTAACAGGCTGAGACCCTTGGTTCAATCCCCAGGTTCCTCAGGAGCAAAGAAAGAAAAAGCACAAAGAAAAAAAATAGAGATAAAATCATAAGGTACTAGTGAAAAAAAGAGTCACACACAAAAATGCGGGAGGGGGTACTAAGGATTCAACCCAGAGGTGCTTAACCACTGAGCCACATCCCCTGCTCTTTAAAAAAAAAAATCTTATATATATATATATATATATATATATATATATATATATATATATATATATATATATATATATATAGAGAGAGAGAGAGAGATGCGGGGGGAGTCTTGCTAAGTTGCTGAGGCTGGCTTTGAACTCTGATCCTCCTGCTTTAGCCTCCCAAGCCACTCAGATTACAGGTGTGTGTCACCACCCAGCAAGAGTGACAAAATTCTTAAGATAGTAAAATTGATTCTTCAAGGGATTGGTTCAAATTCACTAAATTTGTTTATAATGCATATTTAAGAGCAACTAAACTAAGGAGGTACAAGCAAAAGGAAGAAAAGAGGGAAAAACTACTCTCTAATAACAGTTGAAGCTGTTAATATAAATTGGAAACTGCTAGGAACAACAACAAAAAGTCAAGGTTCTGCCCTCAAGAAAGAATGGAGTCACAGTTGTTTTGTAATCAATTAAATCAAATAGAAAATCCAAAAATACATCCAAATATATACATGAATTTAATATGATAAAAATAGAATTTCAAATTAGTAAGGAAAAGGTGGGATTATCATTGGTGTCAGAATAATTGAATGCACCCTGGAAAAATTTAACATCACACTATTCAGCAAGATAAATTTCAAATAAATCAAACATTTAAATGTTTAAATTAAAGAAGAAGAAGATGAAACCCAGACACGCTGAATGGAACCATAGGAGAATTTTTTTCTTCAGTGCTAGGGATGGAACCCAGGGCCGCACACACACTAAGCAAATGTTCTACCACTGAGAGCTACATTCCCACTCCACTGGAGAATTTTTTATAATCTCCGAGTAAGGTCTCTTTAAGTACAAAATAAAACTTGGATGCCATCAAAGGAAAGATCAATATGTTTAGCCATGTAGGAATAAAAAAAAAACGTAAGGCAAAAACCACCATAAGGAAAGTCAGATGATAAATGACTACATATATTTGCATTTCATATCTTAGAATAATGGATAATTTTCATATTTATACACAGTGCTGAAATTTGTGAGAACAAATATCCAAGGGGGAAAATGTGCAGAAGATAGGAATTGTTAGAAAAAGAAATAAAGTGGCTCTTAATTGTTCACTCTTACTCATAATAAGAGAAAAGCAAATTAGAATTTCTTTGAAATACTACTTT